CGTAAGGCCGGACTCAAAAAGGGGTTAAGGGGTTAAGGTGGAAAGAAGCCTAAGCCTAGTTAGTGCGTAAGGCCGGACTCAAAAAGGTGTTAAGGTGGAAAGAGTGAGAGCCATTGAGTCCAGTTATAGAACCGGCAAGCTTGCAGTTGCAATGCAAAGGAGGGATTAGGGGGACAGTGGACCCATTTCCAGCCAGCAGAGAAAGAGGTAGTTTCTTATTCACTCGGGATGGAAGAGATCAAGGGTTACCCCAGGGGTATAAGAGGGTCAATCAATGCCCCTGTATCCCAGGGTCCTTTGCCCATTATAACGGAAGGGGTCCGTGGAGCAAGATTTCTTGGAAGCGAATTGAAAGACGCTGGACCCGGTTTCCAGCTAGCAGAAGCTGGGTTACGACCCCAGTTTCTTTCCGCGTAGAATTGCGAGGTCCGCGGCCTCTGATCATTGTTTCAAAATAAACGAAATGGTTAAAATAAAAAAAGTGAAAACTCAACGGCTAGATCACTAATCACTTGACGACAAACTAGATCACCCAGCATCACCAGATCATTAATCAGTCGACGGCAACCTAGCTCACTACTACATCGGCGTCAACCACTAGATCACTAATTAATCGATGGTGACCGCAAAGAATGCTAATCAAACAACCGCGACCACTAGATCACTAATTAATCGATGGCAACCACTAGCTCACCAATGAACCGATGATGGCCACTAGATCACTAATCAATGGACGACAACCACTAGACCACTGATGAATCGACAGCAAACACTAGATCAAAGGATTCCCAGTGATTTACTGACCATTCCAGTATGATTCCCCCCTTCTCCCGCTTCCCCCCCCACCGCCAAAAAAAAAAACAACAACAAACAAACAAGCAAACAAACAAACAAACACTGCCACTCTTCATCAGATGTTTGGCAGGTCAGATTGGAGAAAGAGGTAATTTCTTATTAACTATTGCTGTTGTGGACAACGCAAAAGATGGGCAAAAACCAGAGTGTACTGGGCAAATCCACCTGCGACTTGCGCGGATGCAAAGAAGTGGTGTCTCGTACCCACCCTCCTCCCAGATGCAGAAATGGCGATTGCACGTAAGTGGAAAGCTCACCTCTTCACATCCTCTTCCACGATGCAGAAATGGTATGTATGGCCTCGGGCCTCTTCACATCCTCTTCCGTGATGCAGAAAGGTCTCGTCTTCACGCCCGAGAGTGCTTATCTATCCCTCTTTCGCATGAGCCTTCTGGGGGTCCTCGTACCTGTGGGACGCGAGCTTCGTCGAGCAGGACCATCTGACTCTGAGTCTTCTACAACAGTTTGCTCTGTCCTGGGATTTGCTGCAGTCGAATGTCGAAGACTCCTAGGTCGCGGTGTTGACAGAGGTGGATGCTCCTCCTCGTCGTCATCATCATCGTCATCCTCCTCCTCGTCATCATCATCATCATCATCATCCTCATCATCTTCTTCGCTATCTTCCACCTCCTCCAGTGACCTCTTTCCTTTGCCTCTCCTGCCATTTGCCACCTCTGCCCTCCTCTCGTCCCGCATTCTCTGTCTCTCTTGCCCAAGTCCTGCTACACCATTCCTCTGTGGCCTTGCTGGGTGATTCCCTTGCGAAGATCGGAGACCCCTTTGCTCTCGTAGAGTCGTTTGCTCTCCGTTCTGACCGTTCTCTGGATCCCTCCTGCTGTTATGCCCAATGTTTTCGCCATTGGGTTCTGCACCCGGCCAATTCTCCCTGCATTTTGGGCAAGTCCTTGGAACTCCTGCTCTGCTGAATTTACGCGCAACACAGTACCTATGCATCCGCGCATCGCACTCGACATTACCACACACCTCTCCCTGCAACAGCCAAGAGAGAGTCCACCATACTCAAGATCCAAAGCAAACAAGATCATAACACAAGCAGCAGGCTGCCAAAGACAAGAAGGGATTTGCTTCATGAAGAACAGGCAGAGGGGAGGGTGCAATAGAGAGAGAAAACGGAACAGATCGGCCGCAAGGCATGTTGTTGTGGCAAAGAGAGAGCAAATGCAATACAGAAGTGAGAGCACAAAGAGGCCAAAACCAGTGCCAAAAGAGATGCAAGACAACCAAACAAAAATCTCTATACTTCCACAAAACATTTGCAAACTAAGGCATCGAACGCCATACAGAGCTGAGCAAGGAGCAGAAACGAACCAAAGGTGCAAAGCACGCGAGCGATTCCAAGTATCCAGGTAACTACTCTCGGAAGTGAAATCGGAAGTGAAAACACCCGATCGATCGCATTCCAACCTCGATCCGGGAAATCATCTCACGCCATATCAGGTGGAAAAAAACAGGTATGGACGCGGAAAGCTACCAGAAAGCTCTCAGAAAGTTCCCAATTTGACAAGCGAAAGACGGACAGATGGATCTAAGTGAAATCACACTACGATTATTCAACTTGTCATGTATGCAAACAGCGAAACAGCAAATTGGCGACAGGCGCCCACTCAGTACTCAAGATGTCGTATCCACATAAGAGTTCTCTTCAAACTGGCTATGGCGACTGAGCGCCCACACAACTCACTGTTCGCGTTCTGGATCACCCTGGATGTCCCACACGCAACACTCAGTATCACACTTCACACACACACATGCTAGGCTACAGCTATGGCAGCGCTAGCTGCCAC